ACAATCTCCTGAAATGTGGGTCGGCTATTCAGGTCCTGGTGCCAACACCTCAGCATCAGACTGTAGATGTCACCAGCGCACAGGGGAGGCTGGGGCAGTCTGTATCCTGATGTCACCTTTGTACGCACCTCCTCCAAACTTTTAAGAGCTGGGAAGACAAAATAATAATGGTAAGTAAGATGGAAAACATAAGATGGAAAAATTCACCTTCAGTGAGAACCATGCTTGAAAAAATTCTGGAAATTTAGGCAGATGAAGTTATGGGCAAATCTTAATTTTCCTGTAAAAACTCATCCGCACTGCCTGATCCTCCATATTGGACTACACATTAAATTCCCCTTTCTAGCGAGAAATGAGCCTTGTGTCCAGGTCCTAAAAACAGTAGCTCTTTCTTGTAAAGTTGCCAGCACACAGTGTCTCTCTAGAGAGCCACATACTCTGAGTTCCCAAAGTTTCCCCAAGAATTTGAGACAGACTCCAGTGAAGACAGCTTCCTTGTCTAAGAAGAGCAATTAAAGTAATGGCATGATTGCCTCTGATTACTTCCGTTTCTCAAGTACACACAGCACCCTTCCTCCCTTCCTGGATTTCCCAGTGTGTCACTCCCAAGTCAGTTGTGCTTCCAATGGTATCCAGTTTTTTTTTTGTCACCAGCTCTTAAAAGGACCCTGTGCTATTCCTATTCACAACAAACCGACAGGTTCACTTTACAGCAGGAGTAGACAACCCCAGAGGAGCGGAGACCTACCTGAACATCATGGAAGAGATCATAGATAACCCAGGATGCACTTTTGTTTTCATTTTTTTTTTAATTTTTAATAAGAAGATAACCTAGCAAGACTGCATTAAAAAGTAAGGAAGGCTTAAAGAGTTCAGGGGTCAGTAGTCTATAACGCAGAGTTCAGGGGTCAGTAGTATGTAACACAGAGTTCAGGGGTCAGTAGTATGTAACACAGAGTTCAGGGGTCAGTAGTATGTAACACAGAGTTCAGGGGTCAGTAGTCTATAAAACAGAGTTCAGGGGTCAGTAGTCTATAACGCAGAGTGGAGGGGTCAGTAGTATGTAACACAGAGATCAGGGGTCAGTAGTCTATAACGCAGAGTTCAGGGGTCAGTAGTCTATAACGCAGAGTTCAGGGGTCAGTAGTATGTAACACAGAGATCAGGGGTCAGTAGTCTATAACACAGAGTTCAGGGGTCAGTAGTCTATAAAACAGAGATCAGGGGTCAGTAGTCTATATAACGCAGAGTAGAGGGGTCAGTAGTCTATAACGCAGAGTAGAGGGGTCAGTAGTCTATAACGCAGAGATCAGGGGTCAGTAGTCTATAACACAGAGTGGAGGGGTCAGTAGTCTATAACACAGAGTGGAGGGGTCAGTAGTCTATAACACAGAGTTCAGGGGTCAGTAGTATGTAACACAGAGATCAGGGGTCAGTAGTCTATAACACAGAGTTCAGGGGTCAGTAGTCTATAAAACAGAGATCAGGGGTCAGTAGTCTATAACGCAGAGTAGAGGGGTCAGTAGTCTATAACGCAGAGTAGAGGGGTCAGTAGTCTATAAAACAGAGATCAGGGGTCAGTAGTCTATAACACAGAGTGGAGGGGTCAGTAGTCTATAACACAGAGTGGAGGGGTCAGTAGTCTATAACACAGAGTGGAGGGGTCAGTAGTCTATAACACAGAGTGGAGGGGTCAGTAGTCTATAACACAGAGTGGAGGGGTCAGTAGTCTATAACACAGAGTGGAGGGGTCAGTAGTCTATAACACAGAGTGGAGGGGTCAGTAGTCTATAACACAGAGTTCAGGGGTCAGTAGTCTATAACACAGAGTTCAGGGGTCAGTAGTCTATAACACAGAGTTCAGGGGTCAGTAGTCTATAACACAGAGTTCAGGGGTCAGTAGTCTATAACACAGAGTTCAGGGGTCAGTAGTCTATAACACAGAGTTCAGGGGTCAGTAGTCTATAACACAGAGTTCAGGGGTCAGTAGTCTATAACACAGAGTTCAGGGGTCAGTAGTCTATAACACAGAGTTCAGTGGTCAGTAGTCTGTAACACAGAGTTCAGGGGTCAGTAGTCTGTAACACAGAGTTCAGGGGTCAGTAGTCTGTAACACAGAGTTCAGGGGTCAGTAGTCTATAACACAGAGTTCAGGGGTCAGTAGTCTATAACACAGAGTTCAGGGGTCAGTAGTCTATAACACAGAGTTCAGGGGTCAGTAGTATGTAACACAGAGTTCAGGGGTCAGTAGTATGTAACACAGAGTGGAGGGGTCAGTAGTCTATAGTCTATTGCCAACACTCAAAAAAGCCTTTAAAAAAGGTACTAGGGGCATTTCATGGGGCCCCCTACTGACCCTGGCCCTTGGCAGGGCCTGAGTGCTCGAATGGTCAGTCCGCCCCTGGTACCAACATTTCGCTGCTTCTTGTTTCTATGGGGAAACTTTCCCATCAAAGGGAATTCTAGAGCTGCAGAGGAAATGAATCTTACTTGTATACGGGGTTTGGCCCAGGGTGAAAATCTCATACAGCACAATTCCGAAAGACCACACATCTGTTTTGTTGGAAAATCTCCCCTTCTCTAGAACCTCTGGTGGCATCCACTGTATTGGAGCAGTAACATCTTCTAGAGTAAAAGGATTACCCTGAAGGATGAAGAAAAACATTCTTGTTAATGACAATACTAGCTTTTAAGCGATAAGACATTTGCCCTAAACTGCTAAAATCGTGCACCCCGCCAAAAAAAGAAGACCTCTCATGTCAACCTGTAGTCTTCAAAGGTTATTCATGGGAATATGGTAGTATGGATGTTTTATGTACATTCCATGAAAATATTTTCAGACATTGCAGCTTTTCTCATGAAATAATATTCATGTGGTGATAGTGATCTATTCAAACTTTAAGAAAGGCATGGTAAGGCAAGTTTGAATTACTTAAAGCAAAGTTCCACCCAAAAGGGGAAGTTCCGCTTTAAAGATTGGTCCCCCGCTCCCCATTAAGGATTGGCACCTTTGTGGAGCGGGGGGGGGGGGGGAAGGGTACCCGAATTTGACAGGTACCCGCTCCCCACTTCCGCTGCGATCGCCTAGGTGATTGGAAACGGAAGTTGTCCTCCTACCCTCCCTCCCTGAAGTCTTGCGGGACACGTGTGACAGGTCCTAGAAGACTATGGGGCCATTCAGGAAGCGCAGCGCTACTCACGCATGCGCGGAACTTCCTCAAAAGGGGAAGTTTTGCTTTAACTACTTGCCGAATGACGGCTGCACTGCGGCCAGCCAGTTCTGGGTGGACGTCATATGACGTCCTCCCAGAACGCGCTCTCCTGCGCGCCCCCGGCGATCTCCGTGATCGCTGTGTTCTACGGACACAGCTGATCACGTGACGTGGTAAAAGGCCAATCTGCGGCCTTTTAACACGTGATCAGCCGCGTCCAATGACACGCTGATCACAGGGAAATGCAAATGCCGGTTCTCGGCTGTACTTTCCTCACGCTGTCAGATCGTGAGGAAAGTACTGCCGAGAACCGGCAGTTGTCAGAGCGGGGATCGGCACCGATCATCAGGGCACTGTTCATCAGTGCCCTGATGATCGGTGCCCAGCAGTGCCACACACAAGTTCCGCCCACCTGTGCCCAGCAGTGCCCCCACCTGTGCCACCCAGCAGTGTCACCACCTGTGCCCAGAAGTGCCACCTACCTGTGCCCAGTAGTCCCACCCACCTGTGCCCACCCACCTGTGTCCACCAGTGCCACCCACCAGTGCCCATCAGTGCAGCCCAGCAGTGTTGCCAGTCAGTGCCGCCAGTCAGTGCCCAGCGGTTGTGCCAGTAAGTGCCCAGCAGTGCCGCCAGTCAGTGCCCAGCAGTGATGCCAGTCAGTGCCACCTATCAGTGCTGTCTATCAGTACCCATTATCAGTGTCGCCTATCTGTGCCACATATCAGTGCCACCTATCCGTGACACCTCATTAGTGCTGCCTATCAGTGCCCTTCAGCGCTGCCTATCAGTGCCGCCTATCAGTGCCCATCAGTGCTGCCTCATCAACGCACATCAGTGAAGGAGAAAAATTACCTGTTTGAAAAATTTTATAATGGAAACAAAGAAACCTTTTTTTTTTCACTTTTTTTTTGTACTTTTTTTGTTTATAGCGCAAAAAGTAAAGTGCCCAGCGGCAATTAAATACCACCAAAAGAAAGCTCTATTTGTGAGAAAAAAATGATAAAAAGTTCATAAGGGTATAATCTTGCATGACCGCGCAATTGTCAATCAAAGTGCGACAGCGCTGAAAGCTGAAAATTGGCCTAGTAAAGAAGGGGGTATAAGTGCTCGGTAGGCAAGGGGTTAAAGATTGGTCCCCCGCTCCCCATTAAGGATTGGCACCTTTGGGGAGTGGAACGGGTACCCCCAACTTAAGAGGTACCAGATCCCACTTCTGCTGCGATCACTTAGGCGATTGGAAACTGAAGTTGTCCTCCTACCCTCCCTCCCCGAAGTCTTGTGGGACACGTGTGACAGGTCGCAGAAGACTACGGGGCCATTCAGGAGGCGCAGCACTACACGCGCATGCGCAGTGGGCACCTGGGATGTCACATATATGTCTCTATCGATCTTATCAAACAGCAATCCCCAAGCAGTATGGGCGCGTTATGATGTCACTAGCGTGGCTCTGTCCCGAAAACCACTTATATCCTTTATTTTATTTGGACATTTTGTATTACTTGTGAGTAATTTTATGGAGGTTGCGCTACACCATTTATGTATATTTGTTTGATTTTGGGGGTGTTGTAAGATCTCTCTGACGGTGTCATTTTTCATTTTTGAGTTGTTTTTTTTTTTTTTATGTTCGTAATTTGTGACTGTGCTGATTGCTTTCTCACATTATTCAAGTTTACATTACTTCAGGACAGAGAAAGGAACGGATCTGTGATTTTGTAGATACTTGTAGGGAGTTTTTTCCCCTCTGTGGTCAAAAGTTTTCTTTTCTGACTGACAGTCTATTTTGGGTCAGACCTTTTTCTGGATGGCAAATCCAAATTGGAAGATTTTGCAAAGGAAGTTGTCTCCGACCAGGATGCTGCTACACATCAAGTCCAGATGTAGCACGCCTTTTACTTCCAGGTAGGCCATGCCGTCCGCCACTTGATCAGCGATGTGCAGGAGGTCTGGGTCTGTTAGGTGGGTTCCTTCTTCCCCTACAGAGAGAAAGTGGGAATTAGAATATGTATATATCAGGGGCGGACTGACAACTCATGGGGCCCCTGGGCAATAGGGGATCATGGGGCCCCTGTGTCATTGTCCAAACTCAAAAAAGCCTATGAAAAAGGTACCAGGGGCATCTCATAGGGCCCCCTACTGACCCCGGGCCCTCAATAGGGGATCATGGGGCCCTTGTGTCCTTGCCCAAACTCAAAAAAGCCTATGAAAAGAGTACCAGGGGCATCTCATGGGGTCCCCTACTGACCCCGGGCTCTCGGTTAGTGCCCAAGTTTCCAAATGGTCAGTCCGCCCCTGGTATATATACTGTACATGTGATTCCCTCTCTAGTCCAGCATGGTCTCTTCTCATTCAGACACCGGAATGAGACAAGTTTTTCTTCGTTTTTTTTTTTTTTTTTTGTCCAAGCTGTAAAGTTCATAAAGTGCAGTTGATTCTCTGTAAGGGAAGAACCAATCAGCACTTGTGAGTTAGTAGAAATACTGCTTGGATAACATGGTGACCTGATTATTACATATAGGGCTGTGTTTGCGTTTGGTTCTTACTTTTATAATTAAAAATGGAGGTGTTTACTGACCACATAGAAGGCTGAGAAGGTCTTTTTCCATAAACTCTGTGACAATATAAACAGGATCCTTGGTGGTACACAAGGCATACAATTCAATGATATTCTTGTGGTTCAGTTTCTTCAGAATCTCAATCCCATTCTTTGCCTCTTTTCTTTCAAAAAACTCTGTGTAATGAGGTAAAGTTAATGGAGAGGTAGTGACAAGACATACGTAACTAGGACTGAGGACATTTTATTTAAAATTTGTGCAACTGGATTTACAGTATCTCTCAGAAGTGAATACACCCCTCACATTTTAGTCAATATTTGATTCTATCTTTTCATGTGACAACACTGAAGAAATGACACTTTGCTACAATGTGATGTAGTCAGTGTACAGCTTGTATAACATGTAAATTTGCTGTCCCCTCAAAATAACTCAACACACCGCCATTAATGTCTAACCATTGGCAACAAACGTGAGTCCACCCCTAAGTGACAAGGTCCAAACTGGGCCCAAAGTGTCAATATGTTGTGTGGCCACCACTATTTTCCAGCACTGCCTTAACCCTCTTGGGCATGGAGTTCACCAGAGCTTCACAGGTTGCCTCTGGAGTCCTCTTCCACTCCTCCATGATGACATCACGAGGGTGGTTGATGTTAGAGACCTTGCGCTCCTCCACCTTCTGTCTTCCACTCCTCTATGATGACATCACGGGGCTGGTGGATGTTAGAGACCTTACTCTCCTCCACCTTCCGTCTTCCACTCCTCTATGACGTCATCACGGGGCTGGTGGATGTTAGAGACCTTGCGCTCCTCCACCTTTCATTTGAGGATGCCCCACAGATGCTCAATAGGGTTTAGGTCTGGAGACACGCTTGGCCAGTCCATCACCTTTACCCCCAGCTTCTTTAGCAAGGCGATGGTCATCTTGGAGGTGTGTTTGGGGTCGTTATCATGTTAATGAAGAGGTAGTGACAAGACATGCAGGATTGGGGACATTTTATTCCAAATTTGTGCAATTGGACTTAGTGTGTAGGTCACCTATAGCCCACTGGCTAAGGTTAATAGATTAAAAGTTTTACAATATATGTCTTGGGGGTTCAGATGACTAGACCTTCTGACCAGTGCCGTTACAAGGTCATTTTACATCCAAGGCCAAAGTGTGCACCCCTCTTGATAGAGATAAGAAACTCTTACCTGTTGACTCTCTAGGAAAGGTTGGAGGAGCTTAGACTTCTTCAGCACACACAGATTGGTTAATGAAATGCTGGACCTAAAGCACTGGTAGAACACTGTCATTGTCAGGTGGACAATTAAATCCAGCAAGCTATGGACCAGAGCTTCATTGCACCTCTCTCCATTATGGATAATTTTGTTGTTAAAGAATTCTGTAAAACCAGTTCTTGTACAGTGAACTTTAAACCTAAATGCCATGACTGTGGAGAAGTATAGAGTGCACCAATTTATTCAGCCAATCAACACATGTTTATTAATATGCAAGGCATATTCTTATGGCATACTGCAGGCATTAGAGACTGGCAATATGGTACAGGTGTGGTTGAACATGCTAGCAACTGGGAACCAGGATACAAGGTCTTGGCCCACCTTACTTCATTATTGTCATCCACAAACCTTCAGAAATGGTCTGTATAAGGACTTTTCTTCTTCCCTCTTTCCACTTCCCTTTCCAGAGAGACATGCCAGCACATTTAGTCCAATACACTTTTTCCTCCAAGGTAAAGTCTGCTGAGGTCCTCTCCCAGGTGTCCTGCATGTGGCTGGGATTCTATCAGGGCAAAACACACTCTTGTAAGTAAATTTAATGTGAACCAAAATGTAATATATGTAGCACCCTGTAGTGTGCTACAAGAAGAGTGTAGGAAAATCTATTGTGTATGACCAGACCTTCCAGCACCTCCAGCACTAAATGTATGTGATGGCAAGGAGTGTGCTGGAAGGTCTATTGATGTTGGCTGCTGGGGGATCTATTTTTCCACGGAGGTCTATTGTTGCTGAGGGGGTCTATTTGTGCTGGCTGCGGAGGATCTATTTTATTGCTTTTCTTGTTATCATTAACAAATTCCATAAAAATTGCTTAGCCCCACAAAATTATAGTAGGGGGTGGAACCAAGGGACGGGGCTTGGAGGTGGAGGGGGCGGAAACAAGAAGTGACTCAGAAGGGGGAGTTCCTGCACCTATTCTCTGAGAAAAAAAGCCCTGTGTATGACTCATGGTAACGGAGTGGGCCTGTGATTAGGGTTGGGTTACTGCACGCCAAGCTGGAAGACTTAACAGGTTGGGACTCCACCTGGTACTGGAGGACCATAGGAAACTTCCAGAAGCCAGTAGGCAGGAGGGGTAGAGACCTAATCTGCATGTTTGTGGGAGTCTAACCAGTTCCAGGTTTGGAGGCCTTGGTAGAGTGGTTGGCCAGCCCATAAATATGGGCTAGGGATAGTCAGGCCAGCTGGGGAGTTGGGTGGAAGGTGGAGTGCTGAGAGAGACTGTCAGTGGCCTGGGAGGGTCTTGGGGGGCTATCCTCCAGGCTCAGGCTGGCTCAGGAGGATCCATTCAGCAGTACAGCATGGTCAGGATCAAGGCCTTGGAGCAGTGGGAGCATGGAAGACAGAATGAGTATATCAGCACACCCAGGGTAAGTACCCTACTGGACATAGAAGAGTTTAATTTGAAAACTTTCAAAGATGTGAACATGGAAATTGAGTACACACACTCAGTTCCTTTTTTGAATAAAAAAAACACTGACAGATCGCCATACCAACACAAGCAATGTTGGTGTGGCAATCTCCCTCGCTGTGCCTTTGTGTTCCAACAGAGAGACCCCCCCCCCGCCAGTACACATTGATCAGCACTCGCAGCCATTGCCTGCAAGCGCTGACCTTTGTTGGACATGAACAATTTGGACTTACAAACGGACTTCCGCAATGGAAATCATTCATAAGTAGGAGACTTACTGTAGTTGTATACTTCTTCTGCTGCTGCCTGCCCCGACCTTTGCTATGTTCTCATATTTCTCTATAGTCTGCTGCCCGTGCTAACCTTTGCTGTGTTCTCATATTTCTCTGTTGTCTGCTGCCTGCCCTGACCTTTGCTATGTTCTCATATTTCTCTGTTGTCTGCTGCCTGCCCTGACCTTTGCTTTGTTCTCATATTTCTCTACTGTCTGCTGCCTGCCCTGACCTTTGCTATGTTCTCATATTTCTCTACTGTCTGCTGCCTGCCCTGACCTTTGCTATGTTCTCATATTTCTCTGTCTGCTGCCTGCCCTGACCTTTGCTATGTTCTCACATTTCTCTACTGTCTGCTGCCCGCTCTGAACTTTGTTGTGTTCTCAGATTTCTCTGTTGTCTGCTGCCTGCCCTGACCTTTTTGCTTTGTTCTCATATTTCTCTACTGTCTGCTGCCTGCCCTGACCTTTGCTATGTTCTCACATTTCTCTACTGTCTGCTGCCCGCTCTGAACTTTGTTGTGTTCTCAGATTTTTCTGCTGACTGTCCTGACTTTTGCTATTTTCATGGATTATGCCTGCTGCTAACCACCAGCCCTGACTCCTGCAGAGTACAGCAACAATACAGTTCAATACAAGAGGGCTAGGAGGGCCCTGATCCTGGGAGCTTACAATCTAAGAGGGAGGGGCTAGTGGTACAAAAGGTAGTAACTGTGGGGGATGGACTGGTAGGAGGAATATAAAATTCCATTATTAGCTGAGGGCAGGATAGGCTTCCCTGAAGGGATACGTTTTCAGAGATCGCCTAAAAGTGAGCAGAGTAGGCGATAGTCTGATAAATTGGGGTAGAGAGTTCCAGAGGATGGGGAAGCTCTGGAGAAGTCCTGGAGATGAGCATGGGAGGAGGAGACAAGGGAGCTAAAGAGCAGCTATCTCTTACTTTTATAAACGGTGTGAGCGGTAGGCAGTTGTGGCCTTTTAGGTGATGTTGATAGTAAATGACCAGATCATGGACACAGGTAAAAAATCTTTCTTCATAGATGAAAAATCTTCCCGTATCTTCTCTTTTAATAGCATAGTGGGTGACCACCTTGTTCTTCTGCACTGGAAAGAGGAGAAACAGGTGTAAAATGTGAGCTTCTAGTACTTGAGTCTCATGATTTATGGGGGACTGTGAACAGCCATAACCAACATTGGTAATTACCATAGAGAATTTCAGTATAATTTCAGATGTTTAGGAAGCGCCTATACTACACTGTACACACCACACCGATGGAGCACCCGCTGCTCAACCCATTGCTGCTGCACAGATCTCACTAATCACCAGAGCAGGCTTCCCTCCATTTGCAGAAGAGATGTTTGTTCATCCCCCTTTGAGTTATAGATATGAGACAAT